TGAGCAGTTCAGTAATTATTTTACTGGTTCACGTTTAGTCCTGAATTTCAGTTAAAGTTTTGAGTCCAGTCAGTTCAGTTCAGTATTTCCAGTTCAGTCCAGATTTATCAGTTAAATTAGAACCCGAGTCAGTTCCAGTAAATCCAGTTAAATAATTTAGTTTGAGTCGAACATCTTAGCAGTTATTTTCAGTCAGTCTGAGCATAGTACTTAGTATTTGTTTATTTATATATTTTTACAGTTCGATCAGCTAGCAGCACTTATGATTTTAAACCAGCAGTTCAAGTGGGAACTCAGACTGAGTATTACATTGAGTATAATTACAACTATCATGTTCAAGGTATGTATATGTAGGTCCGCTTAGGGTGAAGGCCAGTCCATGAAGCCGTAAGTCCACCTTAAGTTCTAGAGGCATAATCTGCCCACATAGTGTGTACACATAGGCGCGACGCAGTTTATTATAGCTGCCAGATACAGTTTATGATCCCGTAGCAGATTATTTACGGTTGATCACCAGATTACAAATTCAGTTTCTGTACCAGTTTCAGTTATCTATACTATTGATCATGATATTGTAATTATTATTACTGTTTTACTTCAGCATGAGTTTCTGCGGAGCACAGTGGCTTTTAGTGCTCACGCCCCCACTCGGTTCTGAGAAGTGAGCTGGGCTGGTGGTCATGGGTTTGTTTATATGTCTGTTTTGCGAACTTTTGGACATGTATATATTTATTTTGCCACGGTTGAACTTCCGCTGACATTTTTAGGTTTTCAAACTCGCATGTTGATTTCCAGGTCTTGGTCCGATTTGTCAGTTGGATTTCATACAGTTTTACATGCTTGTTTGACAAAAGATAATCCGGTTTTCTTAACACTTTTACTTTAGAAAAGATAACAGATTTTCAGAAAAGAAAGGTCTTTCAGTAACATCCCGAATCACGATTTCGCAAACTAATATGTATTTTTAGAAAGGAATTTGCGAAAATTTGACTCTGATTTTTATAAGCTAACGAGGTGTTACACAACAAATCACAAACACTCTTTCACCATCACAGGCATCTCCGACCAACAACCACCTACCGCCTAATCCTCCCCGACGAGACATACATGGCCTTGAGAACTCAAAACCGAATTTCACGGTGGATTAACAGGGTGACCGAAAATGAGACGGCCAGTTCCGATGAGGTTCTCGAATTCATCAGTGTTTCCCAATTTTATGACAGCGATTGCGTGGTCTGGAGGAGCTATTGTCGTCAGATATGACTGAGTTGAAGCATGTGTCGGATATTGTGACCGGCGGCGGCGTTTCCTGATTTTACGACGGCGAGTGCATGGTTTGGTTGACTACTAATACAAACGGGGTCGGCCGGAGCTATGGCTGCAGCGGTTTGGTGGCGGAGGGTCGGGGCCGACAGCTACAATGGAGATGGTGGTGACTGTGTGTGGTCGGGACAAGAGAGTCGCTGCACATGTCTTAGTTGAAGGAGGTGTCGGATGCTGTGACCGGAGGTGGCGACGGGGTCGGTCGAAGCTGTGGCTGCGGTGGT